GTGTGTGTGTGTGTGTGTGTGTGTGTGTGTGTGCTGAGGAGGGGGAGGGGACTTAGACCAAGACCGGGAGAGAGGAAGACGAGTCGCGCCCAGCCAAAAAGCTCCATGCACATGGAGCAATTCCTTGAGCAAACTGCACCGAGAACCGAGGCCCCAGCACCTCCCTGCTGCTCCCTACCCAGTGCAAAGCACCCAGCTACTGAGAAACCACCCTACCCTCCTCGAGCACCCCACCAACCGCCCTGCACCCTCCAGCCCAGCTTCAGCGCCGCCGCGAGCTCTCCCCAGGACTGGCTCTGGCGGGGCGCCTAGAGCCCCAGTTGCATTGCTCCAGGAGAAAGGAGGGGGGCGGTGCATTTTGCAGGAGGAGGAGAAGGGGGGTGGGTGGTGGGGGAGAGAGAAAATTGCGCGGAGACCTGCCAAGCGCCACCGCCGCCGCCGCCGCCGCCGCCACCGCTGCTGCCGCCGCCGCCGCCGCCGCCGCCTGTGAGCTCCGGCGGGCAGCCGGACTGTCGGCTTCCCGGGGCATCTGGGTCCGGCGGGGCACAGCCCTGGGCGCTGCCGAAGCCGCCACCGCCTCCTCCGCGGCGAGCGCAAGAGGCTTCCCCGGGAGCCTGTGCCGCTCCAGCTCCTCGGGGGTGGAGAGGTGGGGGGTGGGGTTGTTGTTTGGGGGGAAGAAGAGGGAGGGGGCAACGCCGAGAGAGTCAGTGGTTTCCATGGTGATGGAGCTGAAAGTGCAGGAAATTTAAAGGCTTGGACCCTGCGAGACAGACAAACCGGTGCCAACGTGCGCGGACGCCGCCGCCGCCGCCGCCGCCGCCGCCGCTGGAGTCCGCCGGGCAGAGCCGGCCGCGGAGCCGCGAGCAGGCGGAGGGAAGTGCCCCTAAGACCGGCTCGGCCAGCGGCGCTGCACAGAGCGGCAGGACGAGGAGCAGCAGGAGGAGGAGGAGGGGAGAGCGGCTCGTCCACGCGCCCTGCGCCGCCGCCGCCGGGCCGGGAAGGCAGCGAGGAGCCGGCGCCCCCCGCGCCCGCGGTCGTCCTGGAGTAATTTCGGATGCCCCACCGAGGCCGCCTTCTCGAATAGACCCAGGAGAGGAGTTGCCGCCAACTTGCGTGCCTTTTTTCCGCCCCGGTGGGAGCCGGCGCTGCGCGAAGGGCTCTCCCGGCGACTCATGCTGCCGGCCCTGCGCCTGCCCAGCCTCGGGTGAGCCACCTCCGGAGAGACGGGGGAGCGCGGCGGCGCCGCGGGCTCGGCGTGCTCTCCTCCGGGGACGCGGGACGAAGCAGAAGCCCCGGGCGCGCGCCGGAGGCATGGAGCGCTGCCCCAGCCTGGGGGTCACCCTCTACGCCCTGGTGGTGGTCCTGGGGCTGCGGGCGGCACCAGCCGGCGGCCAGCACTATCTCCACATCCGCCCGGCTCCCAGCGACAACCTGCCCCTGGTGGACCTCATCGAACACCCGGACCCTATCTTTGACCCCAAGGAGAAGGATCTGAACGAGACGCTGCTGCGCTCGCTCCTCGGGGGTCACTACGACCCGGGCTTCATGGCCACCTCGCCCCCCGAGGACCGGCCCGGCGGAGGCGGGGGGGCGGCCGGGGGCGCCGAGGACCTGGCCGAGTTGGACCAGCTGCTGCGGCAGCGGCCGTCGGGGGCCATGCCGAGCGAGATCAAAGGGCTGGAGTTCTCTGAGGGCTTGGCGCCCGGCAAGAAGCAGCGCCTGAGCAAGAAGCTACGGAGGAAGTTACAGATGTGGCTGTGGTCGCAGACCTTCTGCCCGGTGCTGTACGCGTGGAACGACCTGGGCAGCCGCTTTTGGCCGCGCTACGTGAAGGTGGGCAGCTGCTTCAGTAAGCGCTCGTGCTCCGTGCCCGAGGGCATGGTGTGCAAGCCGTCCAAGTCCGTGCATCTCACGGTGCTGCGGTGGCGCTGTCAGCGGCGCGGGGGCCAGCGCTGCGGCTGGATTCCCATCCAGTACCCCATCATTTCCGAGTGCAAGTGCTCTTGCTAGAACTCGGGGCCCCCTGCCCGCACCCGGACACTTGATGGATCCCTACCGACGCCCCCCGAACCTTCTGCAACCAGTTCCACCGCCCTCTCACGAGGGGATTCAATGAACTTTAATTTTTTATTTTTTTGGCTACAGAGACCTAGCTTTCTGGTTCATGTAATGCACTGTTTAACTGTGTAGGAATGTATATGTGTGTGTATATACGGTCCCAGTTTTAATTTACTTATTAAAAGGTCAGTATTATACGTTAAAAGTTACCGGCTTCTACTGTATTTTTAAAAAAAGAATAAGCAAAAGGAAAAAAAAAGAACAGAGAAAAGAGAGACTTATTCTGGTTGTTGCTAATAATGTTAACCTGCTATTTATATTTCAGTGCCCTTCGCATGGCGAAGCAGGGGGAAAAAGTTATTTTTTCTTAAAGTACAAAGAGAGGGGAGAACTTTTGTAGAAGGACTTTTAAAAAGCTATTTTCCATTCTTCGGGAAGTGTTTTGGTTTTCCTTGGACCTCTAAGAAGCTATAGAGTTCAATGTTATTTTACAGTTATTGTAAATATAGAGAACAAATGGAATGACTAATCATTGTAAATTAAGAGTATCTGCTATTTATTCTTTATAATATCCCGTGTAGTAAATGAGAAGTGCAGAGCAGGATTAAAGAAAACCACTAAAATCGACTGCGCTCTACACTGCGATTCTCTGTGTTAGTGATTGATGGGGGGGAGAGGGTGTCGGGAAGGGGGGCTGCCGCTGTGCTTACTACGCCTGTTGGGAGAAGGGGCTCATCCCCTCTTCTGGGGTGATGGGGTTGACCGCTCAGTTTTTCTTGGGGGCGGGGTACAAGGGTTATTCTCAAACCCCTCATTTGATCATCACGTGGCCTCCGCCCAGTCTCCCAGCTTTTTCTCCCTATGTCACCAAAACTAGGGCCCGTAGTGACCTCAACACCCAGCCGGACCCCTGGAGCTGACCCCAGGCTGGGCCCAGGGACGGGGGGGAGGGGGGTTAATGGGCGACCGCTTTGTCCTGCCTGACAGGCCCTTCACAATGGGGACACGTGTCTTTCACACCTACCCTGGGGGCGGAGTGCCGCTGAAACTTGACCCCCGAGGAATGGGGCGGGCGGGGGGTGAGATCAGAGCGCGCCCACCCAGATCCCGCCACCCCTCCCGCCTCGCATCCCCCCCACCTCAATAACCAGCCCGTGTTAACCCTTTGTACTCCGGGAAGCTACGGTGATCTAATCCCTTGGAATCAACACTCACAGCCTCGGGAATCTTCAGGTCTGAACCCCCGAAATTCCAGGCCCTCAGTCGTAACTGCGGGGCACAGCCAGGAGATTTGACACTCACCTCCCTTCTCCCCCGGAGCTAGGGAGGACTCTGAAGGCCAGGGTTTCGGAGGGGTCTGAATTTGGGTGAAAAACGCCACCACTGGGATCTGCCAGTTGGGAACAGGGTGCGCGCCCCCCCACCACCACCACCCGGACATTTACTTCACTTGGGGGTGGAAGAGAGGAGAAATCAGAATCGGGATCTTTGAGCTTTGAAGTTAGACTGGGGCAGAAGACGTGCTACCCATTAAAGGGACTTGCAGAACATCACCCTTATCCCACCCGTTAAAAAGCCAACTTCTTGGGGCGGGCGCTCGACTCGCGTGCGTCCCTCCGCCTCAGTCCGCGGTGGCGCCCATCCGCGCAGCTCCACGTGGGCCCGCTTCCTGACACTGCTTAGCGCTCCCTTTATTTATCTTGGACTCCAAAATCGCTCTCCTTTGCTCCCTCCCCACCCCCCTGCTACCTCCCCGCGCCTCGCTCCCGGCGTTCCTCCGCCCCCACCCCCCACCCCCCAGTCCGGAGTCCCAGCGAATCTATGCTAATTATTTCAAACCTGCGCCGGGTCCCCAGCGCGGTCTCAATGCCCCCGGCCCCGCCCGCCCTGTCCCTCCAGCCGGGCGCTTTCTTCCCTTCCGACGCAGCCTCGGTGGCTCCTCATTTCAATAGCCTGGCCCGGGAGCCGGAGCCCCCTCCCCGGCGCTGCCTCCGTCAGCCGTGGGACAGACGTTAGGGAATTCATTAACTGAGAGCCGAGGAATAACGGCATTATTCCCCCCAGAGAGGGCACCCTGCCCCCGCGACTATCTGAGGCTTCATTGTAAAAGGATTAAAAGTTAAAGACCTCCATCTTATGATTCTTTCATTTAATCTTCCTGGCGCCTGGGAGACATGCTCGATGGATGATGGCTTTTAAAATATTCCTAATGTCGGCTACCTTAAGACTCCAAGCCGGGCAAACAAACGTAATTTATTTCCAGAAGAAAGGGGATATTGAGATGTTTAAGTTTATGAACCGCCGTCCCCATGTATATTTGTTAAGTTCTGACAAATGCCCAAATAACGTTAAAATCAGCCATTCATCACTTATGAATTTATGCAAAACTTTCTGTGCCCCGGGCCAATATTTTTTTAGACAGAGTTTCACTTGCGAGGGGCGGAGGTGGTGGGGAGGAGGAATGGGGAGGGGGCTTACGTGGTGAGGGGGGGGCGGTGGCGAAAGCAAGAATTTTCATGCCTGGTAAACACGCGAATTATGCGAAGAGAGTTATTCCCAGCTGGGCGGGCAGCCAAAACTCGGAGAGCGCGCCCAGGCCAGAGCCCCCACCCCCACGCTGGCAATGTCACTGCATTACAATGCGAGGTCTTCCCCTCCGCGACGCCCCCTCCTCCCTCCGCCTGCCCGCCGGCCCTCCCGCGCCCCTCCTCCCCACCCCTGCCCACTTGGAAAACCCGCTCGCAGCCGGCGAGCTTCTCGGCTTTCAGAGCGGGAGCCGGTGTGAACTAGGAGCACCCGCGCTGCCGACGTGATGGGCAACAGACCGACCACCGGACAGACTCAAAGGGCAGGCCCGAAGCGGCTCCGCACGCGCAGAGGACCCAGCGGGACCCAGAAGAGAAGGAAGGAGGTGCTGCCTTCTGGAACGTTGTGACTAATGCGCAGCCGGTTATGTCTCCATTATTATTAATGTTGATAATACTAATAATAGCATCAATGCAGAATGAAGTAGGGAGCTCTGGGCAGAAAAGCAAGAAAACTGTCCTCTGTGGTCACCTAGTGCCTATGTCCTGTAAGGAAAAAAAATGATCGTGGTTTCTTCTGTGGCTGTGACAGCTTATGTCTGTGAATTTATGCAGCTGCAGGGGGACCGTCCCTCCTCAGAATGGTGATTTATAACTATTACAGACACAATCAGCTTTCTCAAAATCCTACAAGATAATGCAAGGTTTCTACCTCCCCAGACCTCCAAGCCATGAATGATTGATTGCAAGACTTCAGTCATCAACCCTCTATTTTCAACTCTTCCCTTTATTCCTTCCTTCCGCCCTTCAATACTCCCCACACTTCATGCACAAGCATACTGAGGCCAAATGTCCACGGGAGAAAGCCAGCCCCCTCAGGGGAGGGCCTCTGGCTCCCAGAGTCTGGGAACGGGATTTGGTTCCCTGTTAAGATGGAGAAGGCCAGGGGTCCATTATCAGTCTTGCTTCTGAGACTCCTGGGAAAGGGGGTTGAAGTTTGGTGGCAGCTGCAGGAGGAAGCTGGCTATGTATTATGAGTTCTTAGCTGTGCTGGACGGGGACAGCAGGGGGAGGGGCCAGCCCATATTGGTATTTTGAAGGGGTGATTCATCCTTTTTTCTTTAATGCTCTTGGAATGTCAGAGCTGGAGGGCAGCTTAGATTCCAATGCCCACCGCTCAGTTTACAGATGAGAAGACTGAGACTGCAGCAGGGACTCAGCAGGGAAGACCGCACTGATTAACACAGGGGTTGGCTAGGTGGTCTCCACTGTGTCTCATCACTGTTCTCTTTTTCCTTGTTCTCTCATTCTTTTTCAATTTTATTTATTCATTTTATGTATGTATGCATATTATGATATGGGTGAGAGTTCTCTCCAAAACTGATACGATAACAACTGCTCATGAGGAAGCTGATCAACAATTCTACTGTATCTACCCACAAGCAATTATTAATGGCTTGTAACGCGCCAAGCCCTGAGCTGGGTACTTCATACATATTCTCATCCAAGGTCTCCAGTTTCCTGAAAAGGCAACTGGAACTCAGAGAACTTAAGCAATTCTCTCAAGGCCACACAGTAAGTGGCACACTTACAGGCCAAAATCTGAGCTGACACCAAAACCTGAGCTGCTTCTAACAATTACTCTTCCCCGCCTCAAGCACTTGAACACCTGGCTTAGGAGACACCCTGCACCACATTATGTGCAGACAATTCTTCACTCAAGCTCTGTA